GCGGGGCCGGGGCCGCGCCTGCGAGACTTGCGAGGGTTCCGGGGGCGCGCCTTCCCGTCGTCTCCCGCGCCCGCACCGAGCGGAAATTGGGAAGTGTGACGGGCGCATGCCGGATCGCGGAGCAGGGAAGTTTCCGCCCCTTCCTCACTTCCGTGCAGACGTCTGTCAGAGCCAGGGAAGAGGGGACAGGTGGGGGCGCACGCCCCAAGGCCGCGCTCACCTTCCCTCCCGATGAATCCTCCTGAGCGGAAGGTAACGGGGCCCTTGGACATTTCTTGGGCTGGGATCGGCTAGTGTGGTCAGCCTGGGTCAGCCGTAGTTCCCGGCGGGTTCACGAGGGGCCCCTTCCGACCCCCTTTGGCCTTTGACCGTGTTTCTTTCTGGCCTCCATTCTGCAGTCGATGCCACAGGCTAGAGACCCTGGCTTTTCTCACGTGGAAGGAGGCTGGTTTCAGCGGGGCTCTTTCTCTGTGGCCATTTACAAAGCCTGGTGATTTTGCAAGGGAGTCGGGTGTGTGTGTGTGTGTGTGTATGTGTGTGTGTGTGTGTGTACAATCTGACTGGTGAGGTGTGTACAAGAGGCACTAGTTTCTCATGATTTACTTGTCCTGGGTCGAATGGAACGACTGGATCCTCAGCTAGGTTCCTAGTTTGCTTTTTCCTGGGTGGTGGTGGTAGTGGTAGTAGTTTTCCACAATCGAAATTTAGGCCTGTTTTCTTTTAGGCTCCAGTGGCCTTTTTAACTAATCTGAGTTCTAAACCAACCCTCCTCCCCTCCCTCGGGGCTCTTTTTGAAATCGGTGGTAAAGATTTGGTGAGGTGATCCTTAGATGTTTGGCCAGTCCGGGGGACAGAGTAGAGTTAGCTTTGCTTCAGGGCTAGCTGCTGCCCTCCTGATGGTGGCATCTGCTCAGACCCTGTGAGAAGTGTGAGGCTGGGGGTAGGAATTGTGGCTCCAGTGCCCTTTCCCACTGAGCTATTACTAACTTCATTACCCTGGCAAAGGCACTTGTCTTTTGGACCCTGCCTACTGAAGGGGTGGGGTCGGGGGATGTCAAAGGTTGCAGGCTCCATTCCTTGTTATGTATTGATGCTGCATTGTTTCCCTCGACTCTGGAATCATGTTCCCCCTGGGTGCTCCCTATTGTAGAGGGCATGGAGTTTTGCTTTGGAGTAAGGACTGGCAGATCTTCAGATGAGCTGCGAAATGGCTAGATAGTGTGCTTGGTTCTTATTAGCCTTCTGTGTTTAATTGACCTGGCGACTTTCCTGTGCGGTTTTGAAGACAGGGTGCCTGTAAGAGTAGCTTCTGGCATCTGAGGTCAGTCTTTGTAGATTGCATGGGGCCGAGAAGCTCACCTTTTAGCTGGTAGAAAAAAGGCAGGTATTTCTTCCTGCGGTTGGCCCAGGGCCAACACCAAGTGAGGAGGTGCAGTAATGGGATCTAGTAAGTGGTATCTAGATTTCTTTGCTTACTTGCATAGGGGGCTTCAGGCTTTATGCATTTTGTCTCTGAAAGTTTGAGGGTCCAGAAATACATTTACCTCAGGGTGAAGAGGCTGAGCCACTCCCAGACTTTTGGGGAAATGTGGGTGGGCATCCTGTCCTGCATTGGCGCCTTTCTGTCTTTGGAGTGAAGGAAAGTGAGCTTTTTAAGTTGGTAAGACAATGAAAGATACTGATTAAATGGTGACCTGGTTTCTTGGGCTAAGGATGGGCATTGGAGTGAGTGTTGTCAGGCCTTTGAAAAGCACCGAATCTTGGCACTGCACAAGAGACCCGTTCTGTTTATTTCATAGGAGAAACACACAGTCGCTAGGTTACTCTAGGAGCTTAGATGTGATTTGATCTGCTAGGGCAAAACTCGCTATTGAAACAGCAAATTGTGACCATTGTCCACAACGACATCTTACTGGGTATTTAGAAGTGAGGGATGGGCAGCACTGGCAGCTTCAGGAGCCATTTCAGGATTTGAGGGAGGTCTGAAAGGCAGAGGGAAAGGTCCCCTCTGTGTTTTTGGGGTGGGCGGCCATGGTTTCCTCCTAGTCAGAACTTTATAATTTCAAGTTAAATTTTTTTTTTAACACTCTTTTTGGGATAGGAAACTCACTTTTCTGGGCACTCTGGACTTTGGTCAAGAGGACTTTGTGGTTTGGAGATCTTTTCAAAAGATATTGTTTGCCAATCACTTTAAATACACTGGGCCTTACTGTTCGTTGGACTAGCGCTCTCCGTTTGTGGGTCCCTGAAGTTCTCTAGATCCTGGTTTCTCTCATTGCTCCGGGAATAGTTGGGTTCCTGGACATCATGGAGAGTGCCTTTAGGGGGTAATTGAGCTTCTCCCCATGGTGACACATGGCCCTGATAGGTCATTGAGTCAGTTGCACAACTTGTTCACATTCTCCAATGTCAGACTTAAGGATTTCCTGATAGAAATGGGTAAGAGTTGTATTTGATTACTTGGGAGGGGGATGGTGGGGGGAGAGAAGAGTTGTATAGTCTATCTGGATAGTTGAATTATATAGTTTGAAAATCTCAATTTTCAAATGATTTCATTACTTGGTCTCAACAAAAGCTATGCGGGGAGTTGATAGTGGACTGCCAAGTCTGTTGTATTCTTGTATGTGATTTAGGTGAACATTTCTAGAGCACATTCCTTTTCCAGTTGACAATTCATGCACATCTTATTTTGTGACATTGTGACTTATGCCGAGTTTTGGTTGGATATTGTGCCAGTCTCTCAGGAGCAGACTGGTACCTGAGTATTCTGAGTGCCTGCCTGAAGTTTCCTTCGCTTAATTTGCTCAGCGTCTACTTCTCAGGCCCCTGGTGCTTTGGGCCTTGACTGAAGGAACTCTTTAAGTTTCAAATACGTAGAGTTAGTAGATAAGATACAGAGTCCAGTTCTGGCCTTGGGAGTGTTAAGACAGAGTTGTACTAATTGATTTTGCTCTTCGGCTTCCAAGTTTGCATATAGAAATGGCGTTAGAGGCTAAAGATCCGGTTCTGTAGGGCAGTACACACTTTTATTCCTAGCATTCAGTGGTGTTCCTTTGTTAGTAAAGGTTTGTGCTTTGTGAGTTACTTTTGCCTTCTCGATTTGTCTGATACAGAAGTAAATGGTACATTCCCCCAAATCGTACAAGGAGAGAGAAATCTGGACTGTGAACCGAGGCCTTATAGCCCCAGCTTGGGATCCTAGGACCATCCTTTTGATTTCTGCTTTGTTAGCTGTTTTTTGTTTATGTTTTTATCAACACCATCTTTCCTGTTAGTATGAAAGTGGAGTTGGTGGCATCGTTCTCAAATCCAGAGAGATGGCCTGCTATAGGAGTATCTGAGGACATCCGGTCTGGATGTTTCTGGGGGAAATGGGCCATTGGTTTGGAGACTATTAAAAAGGCTTCTTGGTGAATAATTTGTTCCAGGTAGCTTTTCATTTCTTCAAGTGGATCTTCACTCAAATAAGAGAGAGAGATCCTGGTACTTGGACCTCCATCTCAAAGGAGTCCTTGGACCAGAATGGATGAGGTCAGGTGCATTGCTAGAGCACGGTCTTCCCATTGTTCTTCAGGTCTTCCTCAGACCCTTGTTTTGTGCATGTGCAAGTCTACTTTCTTTCCACTCCTCCCTCTTAGTTTTCTCACTGCATGGGGTTGATGGGTAGGGCTCTAGGGCCAGCTGGGTTGCCTGAGAAACAAGCAGAAACATCCACAGCACCTACAGCTCTTGGCTGAGGGCCCAGGAATCGCATGCAAAACCACCTCTTTCCGGTAAACCATTACCTCTGAGCAGAAGCCCTAGGGGCTTAGAACGCCTCTGACCACCTCTGAGGGAGCAGTGGGAAATGTAATCCACCCTGCTGGGGAGGAAGGGGGCTTGGACCTCAGTTTCCAGTCCTCTAGCTTGTGTCCTTACGCGACGCCCAGCACCACCTTCCTAAACTTCCCCTTTCCAGCCCTGTTTCAGAGTCCTGCCTCCTACACTGATGTCTCAGGAATAGGTTGGTATGGTGACAAGGCACTGCAGAGCTGGGATTCTGGGCCTGGGTCTAACCTTCCCTAGGACTGTTGTGAAGGCGGCGGTGCTGTGCTGTGATCAAAGCGGGGGGAGGGGTGCTGAGACTGGACTTCTGGAACCACTCATTGCAGTCGTGTGCCCTCCTTAACTGTACGTGGGGCCGAGACCGGGTCCTGGCAAGCTGTGAGTGGGTCTTTCCAGTGTTGAAGCATTGAGCCTCGGGTTAAAGGAGCCCGAAGGATGGTGTGGCCCAGGGCAGGGCCCTTCCTGGGCATTTAGGACCTGGTGTCGCAGTTCATCTTTGCTCTTTCCTTCTCTCACCAGGAAGTTGTGTGAGGTGGCAGGGTTGAGGGGAGAATGGGCAGAAGGCTGCTGGCAAAGGTGACTGCTGAGGCAGCGAGCCAGCTTGGTTAGGAGGGAGCCTGTGTATGGCAGACTCCTTGAGAGAAGGGTTTGGAGGCCTGGAGGTTGCTGCAGCAGCTGGGTGCTGTGGTATGTCCAGTTGGGGAGCCACCAGGTAGTGTGCCCTGCCCCCCTAATCGCTAACCCTCTGTCTGCTGCTTTATCAGACTACGCGTTTGTTCACATGGAGAAGGAGGCTGATGCCAAAGCCGCCATCGCGCAGCTCAACGGCAAGGAGGTGAAGGGCAAGCGCATCAACGTGGAACTCTCAACCAAGGGTCAGAAGAAGGGGCCTGGCCTGGCTGTCCAGTCTGGGGACAAGACCAAGAAACCAGGGGCTGGGGATGCGGCATTCCCTGGAACTGGTGGCTTCTCGGCCACTTTCGACTACCAACAGGCTTTTGGCAACAGCAGTGGTGGTTTTGATGGGCAAGCCCGACAGCCCACACCACCTTTTTTTGGTCGCGACCGCAGCCCCCTGCGCCGTTCACCTCCCAGAGCCTCTTATGTGGCTCCTCTGACAGCCCAGCCCGCCACTTATCGGGCACAGCCCTCTGTGTCCCTGGGGGCTGCCTATAGGGCCCAGCCTTCCGCCTCCTTGGGGGTCGGCTATCGGACTCAACCCATGACCGCCCAGGCAGCCTCGTACCGTGCTCAGCCCTCTGTCTCCCTCGGGGCCCCGTACAGGGGCCAGCTGGCCAGCCCCAGCACCCAGTCTGCTGCTGCATCCTCACTGGGCCCTTATGGTGGGGCCCAGGCCTCAGCTTCAGCCCTCTCCTATGGGGCGCAGGCTGCCACAGCCTCTTCACTCAACTCCTATGGGGCTCAGGGCTCATCCCTCGCCTCCTATGGTAACCAGTCTTATGGCGCCCAGGCAGCCTCTTCCTATGGGGTCCGAGCGGCTGCCTCTTCCTACGGTGCCCAGGGAGCCGCCTCCCTGGGTTCCTACGGGGCCCAGGCTGCCTCCTACGGGGCCCAGGCTGCGGCTTCATCCCTAGCATATGGGGCCCAGGCAGCATCTTACGGCGCCCAGCCCTCTGCTTCCTACAACGCCCAGTCGGCCCCCTACGCTGCGCAGCAGGCGGCGTCCTACTCCTCCCAGCCTGCTGCCTATGTAACACAGCCAGCTGCGGCTGCCGCCTACGCCAGCCAGCCCGCCGCCTACGCCGCCCAAGCTGCGACCCCAATGGCTGGCTCCTATGGGGCCCAGCCTGTTGTGCAGACCCAGCTAAATAGTTACGGGGCCCAAGCATCAATGGGCCTGTCGGGCTCCTATGGGGCTCAGTCGGCGGCTGCGGCCACTGGCTCCTACGGGGCCGCAGCGGCCTACGGGGCCCAGCCTTCCGCCACCCTGACGGCGCCTTTCCGCACTCAGTCGTCAGCCTCGCTGGCTGCTTCCTATGCTGCCCAGCAGCATCCCCAAGCGGCTGCCTCCTACCGTGGCCAGCCGGGCAGTGCCTACGATGGGGCAGGTCAGCCGTCTGCAGCCTACCTGTCCATGTCCCAGGGGGCCGTTGCCAACGCCAACAGTACCCCGCCGCCCTATGAGCGTACTCGCCTCTCCCCACCCCGGGCCAGCTACGACGATCCGTACAAAAAGGCTGTCGCCATGTCAAAAAGGTACTGTATGCCCCTCCGCCTGTGCCCCAAGCTGGGGCTTAAGGCAGGGGGCCGAGGTTGGCAGGGGAGGGACCCTGGACTCAGTCTTCTCATCTCCCGTGGGGTGTCTAGAGGCTAAGGGGGAGGGTTCTGCGAGCGACTTTGGTCACTGGGCTTTAAGTGGGGCGAGCGAGCTCAGCCCTGGCCCCCTACGCTGCACAGCAGGCGGCGTCCTACTGGGAATAGGAGTTCCCAGTCTAGGCTGGCTCAAGCCATCTAGGTACCGCCTGTAAGATGGGCTCTTTCAGCTTGTCTCGTGGTTGTCCAGGCTTTGGTGGGGATGGGTGTGAGCGTCTGCCCTTTGGCACTCACTGGCTGAAGGCGGACTGTTTTAGGTGCGTCCACTATGAGGGGGAGCTGGGGGCTTGGCTTCCGTCCGCCGTTGTGTTGAGAAACAACCAAGGCCTTGCTTGCTGTGCAGGGCTTAGGGGTGGGGGAGCTTGCTGGTGGCTTGGAAATGTTGACCCAGACCCACCCCAGCTGTTGGGGGCTGGGGAGGTGGGGGCTTGGGTTCCTGCTGCGCTGGCCCCAAGCCTGGATTTGTGTCCTGGACAGGGTGGTGAGCCTTCTGACAAAGTCTTGTTTGTTGGAGACCAGTCTGACCAAACCCTTGGCATTTCCCCACACCCACCTGGAGCCCTCCCCTCGATTGTCTCATTCACCAACTGTCTTCTTCTCTCGACTAGGTATGGTTCCGACCGGCGCTTAGCCGAGCTCTCTGATTTCCGCCGTTTATCAGAGTCGCAGCTCTCGCTCCGCCGCTCGCCGACAAAGGCCTCGCTGGATTACCGTCGCCTGCCCGATGCCCATTCTGATTACGCACGCTATTCGGGCTCCTATAACGATTACCTGCGGGCAGCGCAGATGCACTCTGGCTACCAGCGCCGCATGTAGGGCCGTCCTGGGACGGGCACTACTTGGTGGGGAGGGGCGGGCAGGGAATGGGGGAGGTGGGATGGGCTCTGCAGACCCAGGTTCCAGCTGCTTAGCCCATGCCTGTCCCGCCTGCGGCTTTTCATCCCCTCTGCCTGTGGACTGTCCCTGAGACAGCCCCTGAGACAGCAGACACATACCTTGGTCCTTCGCCTCCGCAGCGAATCTTGCCCACTGGCTTTAATTTAGATCTACGGTTCCCCCTTCCCCTGCCGCCTCCCATTTGTCCAGAATGGGATTTTCTTTTTTTTTTCCTGACTCCCTTTTATTTTTGTGCGCGATAGTAAAAGGTTGTCTGGATGGGGAGCCCTGCAGCTGAAGATGCGGCGCCCTTCTCTTTAGACATGCGGGAGACTAGGAAAGTGTTCCTTGTAACCGCTTCCCTCTGCGCCACGCTGTGCCAGCAGCCCAGGGGCCTACCTCCGGCCCCTTGTGGACTCTGTTGGGACTGGGTTTCTGTTGGGAGAGTCCGTTGGTTTCGGTCCAAACCCCCACTGACCCATGATGTTGACCGGCACAATCTCGCTGCCCCATTTCCCCAAGTAGATGGTGTTAGAAAATCTTACTTCACCCCTACCCCCATCCCCACCCCTTTTGTATGGACGACAATAAAACGGGGCGATTTGCAGTTTGGAAACCTGGTTGTCATTGTCTTGATTGCACTCAGCCTCTGAGGAGCCCCTTGTGACATCCAGGAAGAAGGTGGCCACTAAGGAGAGGCAGCCTGACAGCCTAGCGTGGCCGAGGCAAGGTTTGGATGTGAGCTTTAGAGTGATGTCTCTGTTCGCCAGAGGACTCTTACTTAACTCCTCAGCATCCCACTAGCCAGTCATCCTTAGGACTGGAGCGTCCAGACCAGGCGTCCTCAAACTACGGCCCTCGGGCCACATAGGGCCCGCCAGGTGTTTTTGTCCCGTTTGGTTTTTTTACTTCAAAATAAAATAAAGTGCAGTGTGCATAGGAATTTGTTTGTAGTTTTTTTTTAAAAAAACTATAGTCTGGCCCTCCAATGGGTCTGAGGGACAGTGAACTGGCTGGCCCCTTTTAAAAAGTTTGAGGACCCCTGGTCCAGACCATGTTGCTTGGACGTCTCGGCCCCTGTTTGACTGACAGCACACAAAGGCAGCAAGCATAGTGCCTTTTTACTTCATTCCCAATGCTGACCCTGTCTCCTGACTGGTGACCTGTTCAGGAACAACCTGTGCTTTGTTCCCAGGATGGTGCTGGGCTTTGGCCTTTCAAGGAAGCCAGCCAGCAGGGTGGGGGTGGGGAGGGAATGTTTTAGTGTTTACAAGGGCTGGTGCGTCTTACAGGCGGTGGGCTTAAGTGAGGGCTGGGGCTGGGACCTCAAAGGAGCCAGTAGCGGGTTGGGGGTGATGTTAGCACCGGTACTGTTTAGAGAAGGGATGGACAGAGGGGAAGAAGGCATGGGGGACTTCTGGCCTTGGCTTCTAGACCGGTTGGTTGACCTGTTGAATCATGGGAGCGCCCTTCCCACCCGTCAACATCCCCACCTGAGACTCCTCCCCCTTTTTCTGTTGGTTGGGACTTGTAGAGGTCTTGCTGGGTTTATATTCGACATGTCGCCATAGCCTCAAGTGCTGGGACTGGGTGAGGAATTGGGGGTTCTTGTGCTTTTAGTCCAGGGTTGGGTGGAGAGAACCAGGGCAAAAAGAACATGGCAAATCCAGATGGGCACAAGTTGAGGCTGGGGCTTGGTGACAGGCACATGGCTGAAGACTGGTTGGGTGGAGAGAGATCAGAAAGCCTGGGTCTTCCTGTGAGGTTTAGAGGTGCTGGGGTGGGTGGGTCCTTACTTGGGACGAGGCGGTTGGACTAGGGGTGCTTTTTGCCCAGCGTGTCAGAGCGTACCATCTACAGCTGTGAGCTCCTTCTGGTAGGCAGCTAAGTGGAGCAAGCTCAGGGATGCCCAGGCAAGGGCCACCTTTGCGGCTTTCACTCACTGCTTTGCTTTTAGGTGTTTGGTGTGCCTTTGAAGTTCTTCAGACCACAGGGTCCTGGGAGCTAGGGTTTTTGCAGCTCTCCAGGGAGGCTGGGCAACTTGAGGGCTGAGTCAAACCTACCTTGGGTTTTTGCCCTGGAAATCAAGGGTTGGTTGGTACTAGGGCTGTGATTGTAGCCTGTGTCTTTAATATTTGTCAGTGTGGCTTTCTGTCCTCCTTTTCCACAGGGAGGGCTCTGACATAGGACAGCCTGGGGCCTAGCTGGTCACTAACTACCTGTCTTTTCCTTTTGATAAGTTGGGCTGCCTTGGCCTCCAGGCTTCCCTTGCTGGAAGCCAGAAGGAGCTGCAATGCCAACTCACGTGTGATTTTCTTCTCTCTCACAGAATGTTTGATAACCACCCTTTCCTTAAATTATGGCACCTCTACTTCTAGAACCCATTCCTCATGCTTCGCTTCTTGTGGATGTGTGATTTCCAGGGTCCTGTAAGTTGGGAGGGGTGGGGTCAAGTGCCCGAGAACCATGGATGCTGTGGGAAATGCAGGCTTCCGGCGTATCTGCAGGCTGCTGCAACTTACGCACTTGTCACTTCTACCTACGCCCATGGCTTTCACTGGCTTGCACCTGGAACAAGACTAAATAGAGGTTTCCAGTTTTCGTCTCAACCTGCTTTCTTCTGGAGGTGATGGGACAGTAATGGAGGGTCAGCCTTGGTGGAGAGGGAGGGAGGGAGGGTGGGTCCCTTTCTTGCCCTACTTATGGGTGCAGTTCTGGGAAGTCTCTGCAGACTGTTAATGTTCCAGGCATTTTTTTCTCCTTCAGGTCCTCTCTGACCCGTGGGGATACGACACTGCTTGGGTGGGCAACGTCTTAAGGAGAACCAAATTCCTAGGTTAATGGACGAGGGGCCTACACCATAGGATTGGGGAGATAGAGAAGGTGCATAGCATGTGGAAAGGGAGTCTTCACCTACATTATCTTGTCAGGAAAGGTTGGAATCTAGAGTTTTCAGGGGGAACTTTCAGGGGCTCCATGTAATGCTTAAAAATGCTTGTGTGTAGGCTCTTAAAGAGTTGGGAGTAGACTGAACATCATCGGATTGGTTGGTTTGGTGGTGTCCGAACGGCAGGCTGAAAGAGCCAGGCTGAGCTGTTGAGGGATTTTGTCAGGGAAGCAAGTCCGGTGACAGGAGAGGGCGGGGCAGTCCCATGGTTAGAAAAACTTCCTGCAGCTGGATTTCATTCAATTTGCAGACTGCTTGGGCATAGATGAGCAAGGTGGTTGGCTCTGAAATCAGGTGTCCTGGCTCTAATCATCAGCTGTGACTTGGGGGCATGTTGGGAACTCTGTTCCTATATCTTTGTAGATCGAAGATAATGGAGATAATAGCAAATGTTGATTTCAAAAATGCTGAGGACTGTTAAAAGTGCTTTCATATATTTAATCTCCATAGCAACTCAAATGAGTTAACATATTGCCTCTACACTTGTATTACAGATGTGGAAACTAAGGTAATAGGTTATACATTTACTGAGGGCCTCATGGCTTAGAAAGGGGTGATGATGGAACTGAAGCAACCAGGGCTTGGTACTCAATGCAGTGCTCCTGCTGGGAGAGTCCGATGAGAGCACCTGGCAAACATAGGGCCTTGGTGGCCATCCTTCGTGAAATACCAGTCATCCAAATTGAGAACGTTCAGGAGCGATCACTGAGTGAAGGACTTGGATGTAGGCTCCTGTTCAGCACAGGGGAACGACAGTGCAGGCAGGGACTTAAAAGGACTGAGAGGACCACGTCAGCACGAGCCACCTCCAGTTTCAGACTCCCATTTCCAGATCAGACTCTTGGGGCGTGGATGCCAAGTAGGCAATCTGCAGTGTGTAAACATGGCCTAAGAGGAGGGTGTGATGATGGTGTGAACCCACTAGCCGATTTTGCAGGAAGACGACCTGACAGGCTCCTATAAAGACTACAGCCTAGAAAACATGAAGAGCCCATTCTACTCCGAGTTAGGGTTTTTACTCCACAGCCTACAAGAGGATGGTAGGGTCCCCTGGGGTGTCAATGGGAAGGTTGGAGGCTCGAGCCTGCATTGAGGCATGTCAGAAGCAGATGTGGCTGTCCACCCTCATTGTCACTCTTGTTCTGCTCGTAGGAGTTGGAAGGCCTGTCATCGAGAGGCCTGATCTTAGGGGGAAAACCAGCCTTTGAAAACCGTGGAATGCAGTTCTACCCTGTCAGGGTTCAGAATCAACTTTATGGCAAATGGGGGGTACGTGTGCGCATTGGCAGTGGAATTGGAGGATTAGGGAGTTTTGTCCTCAGCTAGCCTAGTGGCTTTTCCTGAATGTCCCTGGAGAACACTGGCTTTCAATATGAGTCTTTATTAGAACAGTAACTCACTTCTGGACTAGATACTGGAGTTATTTACTAGTTAACGTAAATTTTAAGGACAACCTCTGGCGCAGGAAACTAATCCAAGGAGGCCTCAGAAAATTCATGGAAAAAAATTCCATGCTCTCAATTCCATTTTTCCACAAACTTCTGAAGCCCTCTTGTACAGATTGGACATTCATGTCTGCAGATTGTGATGTCCCTGGTTTTGCCTAAACTGGGGTTTCCCCTGGTTTTCTGCTGTCTAGATTCATACCCAGAATATAACAGTGTTTGGCACTGTCACCATCACTTGGCTGGCTTTGGGCATGGCACTTTGAGCTTGGTAGCCTGGCCGGCAATTCAGTCCCGAGGCCCTTTGTGAACAACAGCATGGGACTGTACGGATTGTTTCCACAGCCAGCCCCTTGCCTGGAACTCATTCACTGCCGTGGAGTCAGTGTTGATTCATAGTGACCCCTGTGGGTTTCTGAAACTGTACCTGTTCATATGAGCAGAAGAAAGTCCAGTCTTTCTCCCAAGGAGCTGCTGTGGTTTCAAGCTGCCCCCTATGTGGACCGCAGCTCAACACGGAACCAGGACACCACCAGGGCAGAGGATTGAGACCAGATGTCTTTACCTGGCCTTTCCAATGTGTATCTT